ACGGCGGGGACCAACGGCGGTGGGAGCAGCGCACGGGCCTGCGGCCGGCCTGGGGCAGGGCTGCCAGAGCTTGCGGGCTCGACATTCAGAGAGCCACCTTTGCTCAATCCTGCGTCCCTCCATCCGCCACATGTGCCCGGCTTGGTGCCAGCCGTCCAACAAGCGAGACCGAAACAAAACAACCAGGCCAGACTCACGAGGGGCCGGCACCGGTGGACACGGGCTCTCCGCTCACGCCGCCCTTCCTGCTGAAGTTGATGACTTGCAGGCCCTCCAGGGGGTCCTCTGGGTTGAGCGGTACGTAACGCGCCTGGGTGCAGTACAGCTGGTCCACCGGCTGGTAGATGAGCGGAAGCTGCGCCAGGGCAGGCGGGCAGGCGGGTAAGCAGGCAGGCAGGTGCAGGCAACAGGCGAAGAGGTGGGGGCCAGGCAGCAGCCAGGGGAGGGCCCGGGCATGTGCGTTGGGGTGCAGGAGCTGCTGTGACGGACGATGGGACAAGGGGAAGGGCTGGGGGACAACAGTCAGTGGCAGCGGCATGCGCAGGCGCCAAAGGCGGGTGGGTCCAACCAAGTTGGGCGGCGGGGAATCGGACGTGTGCCCAGTGTGCAGGTTGCTTCCCCCTCGCACGCGTCGTTTCCTCCTCGCACCTGGGCCAGAACATACCACGGAGCCGAGATGTAGTCAGTCACGTTGAAATCTTCCAGAGCATCAAAGCCGTAGGGCGGGCACGCGGAGCTGTTGGCGCCGGGCGCTGCCGCCGGGGCGGCGGCGGCGGCAAGGTGCCGGGCGCCCCGCGCCTGCGCCGCGCCCAGCGCCAGGCAGAGCGCTGCCAGCGCCAGGAACCGCGCGGTGGCGTGCATTGCGTGGGTAGACTCTCAGGGCCGCGGCCTGGCACCGTCCTGGAACAGCAGCCCGGTCCTCTGGAGCCTTGGTTATCGTCAGGGAGCGCGGTGTGGATGATCGAAAGACGCGGTTGGGCGCGGGCTGCACTCAATTGGCCACACCCCGCCGCGTGCTGGGTGTGCTGAGGCGGCATCGGCATTCGGCATGCTCCTCTGCTCGCCGGTGCTGCCTGCCTCGATCCTGGGCCATGCACCATCCACTGTCCCTTTGGGCACTCCAGGATCTCAGAGGATGGGCCATCGTTCTGCAAAATGGTGCGAGACACAGCCTGCCGCCCCGTCGAGCGCTCCTCCGCACCACGCTGCCCTAGCCCTGGGGGTCCCTCTGGCTCTGGAGGGTGCTGTATGCATGTGGGAAGGATAAAAAACGTAATGGCAGCACTTTTGCGAGGCGGGGAGGGCTGTGGGGACGGTTACGGCGAACAGGTTCCTTACCCCGCCCGCCGCTAAGCGGCCGCTTGTCGGCGCGGCTGCCGGGAAGCCGCACAAACCGCTCTATTAGGATTGGCAGAGAGCGCCAGGCAGGAAGGGTTCAGAGGTGCTGCTTGCAGCATGAGCTGGCCCCTGCAAGTTATTGAGGGGCAGAAAGGCCTCCAGGCACGGTTTTTGCGGGTCGCCGCCACGGAGTGCGCACACGTGCGGGTGTCGCACGTGTTGGCCTCCAGGCGGGTGCAGGAGGGGGAGAACGCGAGGGCAACTCGCCACAACCGGTGCCTCCTTCATGTTGGCTCCTTTGGTTCTGTTCAAGTGGGGGGAAACGCCGCCATGCACGCTGCAGAGCGGGGGCACGGTCGGGGGGGCGGTGCAGGGCGTGAGGCGCCACAGGACCTCCCCAGCAGGCCGCCGCGGCACGCTTGCAGCCTCCACCGTGCTACCGAGGATGCCACACCAGACCTTTCGTGGCTGTGGCACGCAATATTAAACGCCGAAACGATCGTAGATCCGCCCCGCCGAGCTGCTTGTGTGGGCTTAAAGTCTGGTAAAGCAAGAACTAGCTTGCAACATAGACTCCCCGCCGAAACGGGACGGGAACCGGGCGAAAGCAGAGAAAGCAATAAAACAGGGGTGGAGCAAGGCGACATGCAACGCAAGCAGCTGACAGGGCACGCATCGAAACGTGTGTATGACTGGCAAAGTGGCATGGCGCATTGGGGAGAAACGCAACGGTACGGGAGCATGGGCTGGCCAAACGGCAGTGCGGAACGCTAGGTCACTAGAAAAGCAGGGAAAGGCGCACTATGTATGCAATGAGGGCAGCCCCGGCTCGGGGCCGTTGAGAAAGCAGTGGGCGGGAGGGGGGAGGCCCCGGTGTGGGCGGGCCCCATCGAGGGGGGATGGGGCGCGCAAGCGGCCAGATGGGGCGGGGCGCGGGCGGCAGTGGAGTCCTGCGGCTGGGTGGGATATAGGGCAATGAGCGTTGAGCAGTGTGCGATGAGCAATGAGCAATGAGCAGTGAGCAGCCCCTCCCTAAACAAAGTGAAGCGCAGGACGGGGTCCGGTGGATGGGAGGCAAGGAAACGCGGGGGGTTGCCACGTGCGCTCCGCCGCCGCCGCGGGCAGCACCCCTGCCGACGGCGGCGGCAGCAAGCCGTGGACCGAAACTCCGTGCCGCCGAGTCCCGTGGCTGTGGCCGTGGGCTTCTGGCAGGAAACTACGGCCGCAGCTCGGCAGCACGGGGGCGTCGCAGCGTGCCGCCGCCGCCGCGCTGCCCCCCGGGCACGGCGGCGGCGGCAGCAAGCTTGGGCCCAAACGCCGTGCCGCCGAGTCCCGTGGCTGCGACCGTAGACCGTGGGCCGGAAACTGCGGCCGCAGCTCGGCGGCACGTGGTTCTGGTCAAATCGCCAAGCGTGCAGCAGCGCCGAACCACGCTTCCCGGCCTCGGCGCATGCCTTCAGGGGCCCCCTATCGCTGGGCACACCCCTCCAACACCGAACATGCGCCCGGGGGGGAGGGCGGCCCGGGCGGCCCAGGCCAAAGTGGGCCGCCCTCGAGCAAGAGGCGGCCGGGCTGTGTGCTGAATGAATGAATGAATGAATGCACTCTGGCACAGCTGGCAATGGCATGCGTGTCTTCCGACAGCAGGGGATAACGGACCGCTGTTTGTATCTGGTCACTCCTGATGCACTCTGCGAACCACTAGACTTGATGCTGCAGCTGCAGCTGGAGCAGGGGCGCGGCATCGGCGTGGGAGTGCAGCCTGGAGCTTATTCGCCGTTGAGCATGGCAGCATACCCAGGTGCAGGGGAGAGGAGGGCCCTGGGGAGCGCGGGGAGTGCGTGTGTCACAAGGGTGTCATGAGGTGCTGCGAGCACCCCTCGACCGGGTGCCCTGAAGCCCTCGCGAAAGAGCGGATGACATGTCCCCGTGCAGGGTTCGGCCCTTACAACCAGAGCTACCTGGTGCCGCTCTACATGGGCCGGCCACCCGACCAGCACCTTTCGGCTGAGCCAGCCGGTAGCCCGCTCCGCCAACCGAGCCAGCACCATTCGGCTCACCCCATTTTGGCCATGGACGTTCTCAAGGCCCGCATCATGGAGGCAGCCCCTGGGGAGGTCCAGGGCGTCATCTCCTCGGTTCAGTTCGTCCCCAGGTGGGCGTCAGCGGCCGCCGCCGGTCCCGCCCCCGCTGCAGCTGGCCGCTAGCTGGCTTGCATCCCCTCTTGTGTCAATCGGGCCCCACTGCCCCTGACGCTCCCTCCTGCTGCGCCTGGCCGCACCGCAGGGCCGCGGCGTTCACTTCCTTGATACAGATGGTGAGGAGCCGCCGCCGCGCTCGCCCGCTCCTCGGCAGCCGTGGCAGCCCAGGGCGGCGGCTATGGGCGGCCTTTCCCGCGCCGCGCCGGCTGCTGGGCGCGCCGCTGCCGTGGCCATGCATCGCAGCTGCCGCGGCGGGGGGCGCGTGCCGCCTGGGCAGGCAGCGAGGGGCCCGGGGCGGCCCTCAACCGTCGCCCAGGCTGCCGCCGGGGGCTTTCGGTGCCGGTACGCCGCTCGCTGCCGCTGCGGCGCTCGCCAGCCTGGCAGCCTAGCCGACCTGCCGGCGTCGCATCG